AAACATAAAATTTTGAAGGGAATAAATAAAATAGAAGCAGGGAGGTTGTTTCCACTGGCGGGTGAAACTAGAACTGGGGGGCATAGCCTCAAAATCGGGGGGAGCAGATTTAGGACTGAGTTGAGGAGGAACTTCTTCACCCAAAGGATTGTGAATCTGTGGAAATCCCTGTTCAGTGAAGCAGTTGAGGCTACCTCAATGAATGTTTTTAAGGCAAAGAAAGATTTTTGAACAGTAAAGGAATTAAGGGTTATGGTGAGAGGGGCAGGTAAGTGGAGCTGAGTCCACAAACAGATCAGCCATGATCTTATTAAATGGCAGAGCAAGCTCAATGGGCCAGATGGCCTACTCCTGCTCCTATTTCTTACGTTCCTATGCAAAATTTTCCAGAGACTCCAATCACATAGCTTTGATGCCTATAATGAAGTTCATGTTTACCTGCATTACATGGTCTCCCAAAGCTCAAAGTGTCTTCCATACTAAAGCTTACATACTGTGTCTCAGATGTATGAGTTTTACAATAGTTTTTCATCCTAAGTGAAACAACCTTACGACAGGAGTAAAATCTTATAAAAGTGGTTCTCTAGCATCCATTAATTATTAGTCGAAATCTGTAAACTCTTAAGCATGTAGCAGGGAGTAGTAAAAGTGGATTTGATTAAAGGAATATTGATTGCTAACAAGTAAATTTTCTAAACAAAGAATAATTTAAGGTCAGTAATAGTAAATTGCTGCAGCCTGAATTCCTATATTTTTGGTAGGACTCGGACAGAAAGCAGAGTCCACATAAATTGATGTTTCTCAGCAAAATAGAATACATACCCTGGAATGTTTGCTGTGTTCTCTTTATAGCAGCAAATGAGGAGATAACAAACTGTAAAGCGTATTGCAGGAGGACATCAGCAGGCTAACAAAGTGATCAAACAGACAGTAGATGTAATGCAGTGCTGAGAAATGTGGAGTAATATTTTTGAGGAAACGTAACAATGAGCGGAAGCATACGGTAAAGATTAGAACTGTTCAGAGTGGATCAATAGAAGGGTCTAGCAAAGCAGATAAATAAACTATTAATTGTAAGAAATCATTTATTTAAGAATACAAATTAAATTTTCATTGTATACATAATTTAAATGAAAAGCAAGCAAGTGCTGTTGTAGCAAAATTCATTCACAGTGCCAAGATATAAATGATATTGATTCCCTTGGACAGGCAGTAGGTCAGCCCCTTACTGTGTGACCCATAGATCATTCTTCAATTAAATCTGGTGCCAAGTCAAAGGACTATCAGTCAACTTGTAGCAATGACATCCGTGAACTAGGTAAGCAGCCGTCGATATGAAATTATTCTTGAATTGTTTTAAAAATAAAACACTGAATCCTTAGACTTATAAGTCACATTTTCAGACTGCAATGTAAAAGATTGTGATTGGCTTAAAATAGAAGCTAAAATTTAATAAAAACTTTTAGAACTTTATTTTTTAAATCATTACGGAAAGATCTTTAATACATAATTCTTTGAAGTTTACATCGCGTATTGATGGGGTGGTTAAGAAGACATTTAGCATGCTTACCTTCATTGCTCAAACCTTTGAGTAAAGGAGTTGGGATGTCAAGTTGAGGTTGTACAGGATGTTGGTGAGGCCTCTTCTGGAGTACTGTGTCCAGCTTTGGTCGGCCAGTTATAGGAAGGAAATTATCAAGCTGGAGGGGCTTAAGAAGAGATTCACCGGGATGTTGCTGGGAATGGAGTGTTTGAGTTATAAGGAGAGACTGGGACTTTTTAAAATGGAGCATAGGAGGTTGAAGGGTGACCTTGTAGAGGTTTATAAAATCATGAGGGGTAGAGATAAGGTGAATGGCAGGCGTCTTTTCCCTAGGGTGGGGGATTTCAAGGCGAGGGGGCATATTTTTAAGGTGACAGGAGAAAGATTTAAAATGAGGGACAACATTTTTACACAGAATGGTTCATGTGTGGAATGAACTTGCAGAGGAAGTGGTGGATGCAAGTACAGTTACAACGTTTAGAAGACATTTAGATCAGTACATGAAAAATAAATGTTTGGAGTGATATGAGCCAAGTGCAGGCAGGTGGGACTAGTTTAGTTTGGGATTACAGTTGGCATGGGCTGGTTGGATAGAAAGGTTTGCTTCCACTTTGTGTGACTCCATCTGATATTCCTAAACATAAAAATTGCTTTACAGGACCATCGAGGTAATAGCAGTAATAACAAAGAAGTACACTAATTTTAATTTAAAAAGTGTTACACCTCATTCAAAAAGTGCAATACTTTGTGGATTTTTAGGAAACATAATAGTTTAAAAATGGACTTTCTTTTGTCAATTCACTGATTATGCTCTGGGAGGCCTCAACAGTCATGGTCTGGAAGTGTTAGGAATTCCACACATTGGCAGACTTTCAAAGTTGGGGGGTGCTGTAAAGATAGTGAAAGCTCACAGGTTCACTGTCATCTCTGCTGTAATATTCAGGCTATTGTATCTAAACTTTGCTTCTGTCCATGGCTTACCCCAGCAGAGCCATTCTTTAGAATTTGCAGATAGCTTTGTTCCTCTGAAGCCATGCCTCCAGTCTCTGTTTGCTTTCCAGCTGAATTTCTCCTTATTGTAGATCGTCTAAGTGTATAAAAGTTAAAGACTATAGTTGTTAATTCGGAAAGTGCTGTCCCCAATATTACTGTGGCGGCAGGACTGCTTCAGGCACATCTGTACAACTGAACCAAAAGCAAAATACCATAGATGCTGGAGATCCTGAAATAAAAACAAAGTGCTACAGAAATGGAGCAGATCTGGCAAAGTATGTGAGAAATAGAATTAACTTTTCAAGTCAAGTATGACTCTTCTTTGAAACTAAAGGCAGCTGAAATAGTGATAGACTTGGTGCTGTAGGAAATGGGGATGGAGGAGTAAGTGGAACAGGTGGTAAAAGTGCCTCAGAGCAAAAGGCAAAGGGAGTGCTAATACAAATAGAAAAATCTGTTAAAAGGGTAAGGAATGGGTATCAATAACCAAAAATTGATCAGCTGGACTGAGAGCAAACCCATGCAACAAAGTCAATGGATCTTTGGAAGAGGGGGTGAAGAAAGGAGTAATAGAAAAGGAGGACAGAATTTGAGGTCTGAAGTATTTGAACTCAATGCTGAGCCCAGATGACTGTACGATGCCTAGGTGGAAAATGAAGTGCTTTTCCTCCAGATTGTATCAGAGATAGTAGGAACTGCAGATGCTGGAGAATCCGAGACAACAAGGTGCAGGGCTGGATGAACACAGCAGGCCAAGCAGCATCATAGGAGCAGAGAGGCTGACGTTTGGGGCCTAGACCCTTCATCA